ATACCCCTAATTTTGCAATTTTCACCGTTTAACAGCGTCGTCAAATCGCCATAAAGCTAATTTATTATTTCGCAAACTATTCACCACATCCCATTAACCTTTGGAGCTTAAACATTCCTCTCACCTAAATCAAATCAGCCTGGCAATAAAAATCAAAACTTTCGCCGACACTTTTCGAAAAAGATGCTGCTCATTTGCATCAGCACGGCCTCTTCCTAGACAGTTATCTGACAATATTTCATAGGTTCGTATCTTCCTATGCCGGTGCTGGTAAAAGCTACCTGTTACCTTAATTAATAACCGGATTCGGTATTCAAAAGTCAATAAAAATATGTCTATAAATTTCAAAACAGCAGTGGCTCACCAAAAAGATCGTAAGGGATTCTTACAGCACAAGCATTGTGATACCTACAGTCCCTAAAATCTCCTAATTACAGCTTGCATCTTTTTCGGCTCTCTTTGTTGTATTTGATTTTGCATTGATTTAGCAAATGCGTTAGAGACTTTATGTGTCATGGTGCTCTTCTGTGAAACCTTCACCCAGTGGTCTCAATTTAGGTGTTCTACAGTCTGTTTTAGCTCAGACGTTATGGTTGTTACATATTATTGATCTTTCAGGCACGACGAATCCTATCGATATCCTATGTGGGGGTATCATCCTGAAGAAACTCCTCGAACCCGTTATTGCTTAAGAAAGCGATAGTATAGTGCAGTTTTGTGTTTTCAATGCTTTTGACTGTATTTTGATAAGCCCACAACTAGTTTCTATTTGTGGTGGTGCTTAACCAAGAATGAATGTGTTCCGACTAATGTCAGATGAAATGACTAAGAACGTGATCTGTTGCTAATGCTGTTTCAATGTCAGCAGCGCCTGGGAAGAAGTTTTAAGTAGGAAATGGGCGAAGACGTGACAATGCTTTTGAGAGGAGGAGAGCACTAAGTGTTTATCATGCTACAAGCTGTGGATGTAATATCCAAACGTTGTAAACTAACAACAGGCTGAATACTATACATAACCAACCGTGTACAACGTTATTTCATGCTTTATATCAATTATCAGGACGTCATGGGTCTAGTCAATGATAGTAAATGATTTTAGCCAGATGGCTACTTTACTCTGGAAAAGACTATGGGGTACTGCTCTCATATTTTGTAATGCTATTTCCTTAACTACAATACTTACACTATGTTGTGATTTAGACGAGAGTAATCCAAGAGGCTATGCCACTGTTCGGTGACGCTTCCTTACAGGTGACTTCAAACATATCGGTAATATGTGTTGTATTTTCTTAACAAGTACTTTAGTTGTACAAGTTTCCGAAAGTATCCGAAAAGCGTAATATACAGTTGAAAATATAAGAACGGCATGTAAGGTACAAACCATTAATGAGTGGGTGCTAGGTGGGAAAAAAGAATGAAACGAACATACCAGCATAATGCACGTCAAAAGTAGTTAGGATTGTACGCTACATCACCATTTTGAAACAGTTTAGTGCGTCCCCGGAAAACATGGAGCGAGAACTTATTAGTTGGACAGTAAGGGAACAACGAATTCGGACTAGGTAGAAGGAGCAAGTACACGGCAAAAATTATGTAGCCAGTAGTCAGGATGCAGGTTGATACTACAAGCCATTGACACTTCTCATTAAATTCGTACTTTTCTGCGAGAACAGAAGTGCGTGTGTTTTATTCAGGTGTTCCAGACAGCTGACGAAAATGGGAGTTTCTGTGGATTGAAAAAAGTAGTTTCAGCTGAACAAAAGTAAATATTTGTATCCCAATCCAAGGTTTGTTAACAGAATTGTATACGTAACAACAACATTAGAAATGCAAAATATTTTAGACAGGACAGATTTTAAGATGGATTCTAAAAAGGACCAACCGAAACTCTATTCAAGCTAAAACCCAGCTTTATCTGCTCTAATTTTGAATCTAAAGGTTCTTAGCAAAGACAATTCGCATTCTAAGTAACAGTTTTACCATCACACTATGTGCATCAAATTAACTGAAATATTTTTAAATACTTTTATTGGATAATTATAGCGACAATGATGTAACAGCAAGAATTTCCGTATTAAGCTCAACTAGGTATTTGGTTTTAACCAAGAATTTGCTGTACCGTTGAGAAATCTTTTCATTGGTTTCTTTACTTTGTTCAATTTATCCTTGTTTTTTAGTAAGAACTGAGCGAATTAAACTCTGGGCGCTGAAGAAAGACATTAAACGTAAACAGTGATCAGCACGTGAACAGATCCCTCGAAAGCATCCACGGATATACTCCAGTCACTTTAGGTCTAAACATCCTCGGCAGTGTATTTCTAGCGAATCCACAGACCCTTTTTCGTGTCACCTTGAGACTAGAAAAAGGATGACTGTTAAAATAAGTTACCTTGATCTTTCATGCGCTCCCAGTACAAAACATCATCGATATATTTTTGATGTAAGAACAACAAATTGGTTTAGAAAACATCCACTTTGAACCTAAATTGACTGGAGTAACATCGATCTACAGACAAATTCAAGGTCACTAGCAGTCGTCGGCGCTCTACGAATCTGCACAGGTTTGGACTTGTAAACGTGATTGTAGATGACACGACAGGCATCTAACAGTTAATTCACGCACAGGATTGCATTGCATAAGCATTACGCATTCAGTAGCGTATACTCGTTTTTCGCGAGTGGAACGTTTTGTTTATATATTGCCTAAGATACGATGTCTGACACAGATACAGCCGACGAAGTGGTTGACATCAGCGCAACCCCACCCAAAAAAAGGGCTAAGAAGCTACATTTAAGTGCAAATGAAAAACAAATAATATTAAATATATACAAAAACCAAATTCAAGAAAAATCCGATTTGGTCGTGGACGAAGTTATATGTAAGGTAGCACATATTTCTGGAGTATGTCGGTCCAGTGTTTATAGGATCATCAAGGAATATAGGAGCACTCACTCACTTTCTGAGCCAAAACCGTTATCCTGCAAGAAAAAGGATAACGGACGGAGTAGATGACTTTGACAGAACTGCCATCAGGAGGAAAGTGCATAATTTTTTCTTCCGAAATGAGATACCTACAGTAGATAAGATATTAAGATTAGTTAATGCTGATGAGGATCTTCCATCATTTAAAAGAACCACATTCCGAAAGCTTTTGAAGGAACTTAATTTTCGATTCTTGAAACGGGGAAGAAACAGTATGGTAATAGAGAAAGAAGAAATTGTTGTGTGAAGAAGGGAATACCTTAGGAAGATTCGGAAGTTTCGCGATGAAAAAAGAAAAATTTACTATTTGGACGAAACGTGGGTGAATGCTGGACATACTCAAGCGAAAGTTTGGGTCGACAAATCAGTAACATCATCAAGGCAGGCTTTTCTAGACGGTCTTTCGGCTGGATTGAAAAATCCTTCAGGTAAGCTCCTTCATCTATCCGGCAATTTAATTTTGATAAATTCGGGCAAATAATATGCTGTGATAGCAGATAATGTGTGATATTCTCCAAAAATGGTGCATTCGCAGAGTAGTCATTAGGAAAAAAACTTCGACCCTCTTTTAAGCGTTATTTTGAAATTTATTATCATTTTTGGGTGCAGTCAATTTGCTTTGAATGGGTTTTGAGTTGCAAACTTCAATTTTCTACGTTTTTCAGTTTTTGATCAGCATTCCGTGACTCTTAAATTCAGCTAAATGAACTCAATTGACTCATTCCTTCAAATTTAATCAATCCATAGTGTAAGGAATAATTTATTTCCAGGAAAAGGCAAACGGCTGATCATTTGTCACGTAGGTAGTGAAGACGGATTTGTTCCCGAAGCACTGTGGGCCTTTGAATCAAAAAAGACAGGGGACTATCATGAGGAGATGGACGGCAATTCCTTTGAAAATTGGTTCTCCAAAATGTTACTAAAGCTGGAGAATCTGGATAATGCCCCGTACCATTCTAGAAAAATAGAAAAAATGCCCACAATGGCAACTAAAAAAGCAAACATACAACAATGGCTGGCCTCAAAACAGATCGATTTTGATGAAACAATGGTCAAGGGTGAATTGATAAGTATAGTCAATAGACATAAATACAAATACGATTTTAAAATGATCGACGAAATGGCCAAAAAACAAAATAAAACTGTCTTGAGACTGCCACCCTACCATTGTGAGCTGAACCCTATTGAGCTGATTTGGGCCAACATAAAGCAATACGTGGCGTCGAATAATAATAGTACTTAAAAATTTTCTGATGTTAAAAATCTCTTTCACATCGCAGTTAATAGAGTTACGGCAGAGGAATGGAAAAACTGTATCCGCCACGTTCGGGAGAAGGTTGAGGTCAAAATGTGGGATTTGGACAATGTCATCGATACCCAAATTGAACCTCTAATAATTCATTTAAACGATTCAGAAGATTCAAGTTCCTCTTCTGAATGAGTGCACGCAGCTTACTTACTAATAACTAAAAAGTGTAGTTAACTCATTTGTGAATCTCTAACTGAAATTTACTGTAAAAGATAATAATTATCTTGTATGAAATTTTTGATGACTACCCATAATATCTTGATGCGGTCCTGTAATGTCTCCTGCGCCTAAACACTCACTCACGAGCAATATGCGTGTATTTGTTTGGGTTTAGTTTCTTTCTTCAGCGCCTAGAGTATAGATAGACTTCCTGACCTGGTTTACGTGAGTACACCCATTGTGAATAGCTACTTGAATATGTACGCCGATGTGTTGGTTTGTCGTTTTGTTATGAAATGGTAGTCATTTTATCCAAAAGTATGCACCCACACTACACAATTTTGGCGACAAACAACGCACTGTAAGCATATAGACTTGGCTCTTGTGATAGATAATGACGAAAGTAGATATACCACATTGCTAAAGCGAAGGAGAAAGAAGAAAAACTCTTGAATCAATTTGAATTTTAGTATCGATCGATTTGATCTCCCAGACCACCCTCTGTCGGTTGAACTTTCAGCTTTTGAGCACTAATTGTACCTTTTTCAGGTGAAGTACCAGTTTGACCGAAACATGTTGCTCACTGCGAAGCCACGTCTCGACCCGTCTAAGAAAACTGGACGTATAGCTTGTCATTCCGTGCCCTGACAACATCGTCACCGCACAACGTCAAAGGACGAATCAGAGAATGCTGTATCTGTCCAGAAGGTTGTCTCGGTATCACCTGGTGCGTGGGCCGTACCAGTCCGATCAATCAAACCGCCAATTATTATGTAAGTGCGGTGTAAAGTGGACGGGCTGCCGCCTTACGCGCCGCAGCGTCAACGCGTCGACGGCGTCGCCGTCCAGCCGATAGGTCCAAGAGACCAATTACGGAGGCTGTTGTGCGCAAGCTGATAAGCCAAGGTGCTTTTCTAAGTAGGATTTCTTGTTCGCTCTCAGTAATTATCGATTAGAAAATTACTGTGGGATTTTTTCCGGCAGCGGGTGTTTTTCGTTCCCGGTCACCTTGGGATAAGCCGCCGCGGCGGCCAAGCCACGCCACAACGGTGTCGCCGCTGTCACTGACTTCCGCTTTTAATAGCTTACAGGGAGGGCCTACCTAAATCGGTACCTGCCCGTTATTATATTAACCGTTGACTTCGAAATCGACTGAAGGATATAAGTTAGAACAAAGAATAGAGAAAATGTCAGTGAACTTTAGGTCAAGTCACCCTAGGAACGAAGGAGCGATTGTCGTTCAAGTTGTTCAAATAAGTAGATAACCCAACATCCCAGTTATTTTTATATCATTGGGTATGTTAACAACCTACTTTTTTATTCCTTATTTGATCTAACGAATGGTCCAATAATTTGTGTTAATTAAATTGTTATATCCTCACGAAATATTTAAAAATTGCGAACTTCAGTTACAGTAACGGAAAAAAAATGTTTGAATTGTTATATTGTTTATACCCACTTGAAGTATTTGAAATTGTATAGTTCAGTTACAGTTACGACAAAAAATAATGTTTAAACTGTTGTACGGTTATACCCGCATGAAATATTTTAAAATTGTAAAGTTTAGTTACAGTTACAAATAAAAATTGTTTTTAATTGCGATACCCACCTCAAATATTTAGAAATTCTAAGGTTCAGTTACAGTTATCAAAAAATATGTTTAAATTGTAAAGTTCAGATACAGATATAAAAAAAGTGTTGTTACTAGAATAAGGCGTTTTTATTATTGCGGTTACTCACCTGTGATGACAGTGCCAAGCTATGGCTAAGATATGTTTAAGAAATTCATTGTTGAAATAAATAATATGAAAATGATAACATTATATTTTCTTTAAAAATAGCCGTCTAGCCCTGCTTGTAACGTTTACATCTAGTTTTAAACACTAAAGATTGGTTAGACATAAGTGTAGCCTGGATCAGGTTATTTCTAGCCGCAACATATATATATGTGAAACCGTAAAGCTTTGCAGTAAGCAGAATATGTGCGGAGTGTCCTCAGCGTCTCGGATCAGCTAAAAGCGACTCGGCAACTGTTAACTTTTAATCACTATAGCTCGTTGATGTCCACCAAGTCTGGCTACTGAATCTGCTTTCGCCGTATAACATACGTCAAAGGAAGCGTATAAATACAAACCCAGACATTTGACATTTTTGAAAAAAATCTGTTATATATGGACTCCACATGCAAAAGTGTCCGGGATTACGATTTTCTGACCCTCAAGTCCATAGGCAGACATCTTAAGCCGTTATTCGCACTTGAAATTTGGTTTTAGATGCAAAAGCAGATATTTGTGTACGCCGGTTACGTGCAAAAGCAGACATTTGCCTTTAAGCCAATCCGAGCGTGACTGCTTAGTCATGTGATCTGGCGGCAGCTGCCGTACCGTGCTGCTATGCTGTATTTCTCTTCTTAACTTCAAATTCGAGATCGTACGTAAGTTCTACGTTGTTAAAGTGATATACTAACTGAATTGATGTGTTCATAAATAAATTGAAGTACTTGAGAATAAATCATGAATAGCAATATTACTATTGAACCAAGTCCAGCTGGTAAAGGTCGAAAAAGGTTAGTAAATAAGCAAGAATGGAAACGAGAGAAGGACAAGATAAAAAGGTATGTTCACTTTGTAAGTTTCTTTGATAGCTAGCTAGAAGATATCACTCAATTTTTTTAGGTATTCTCGGCAACGCCTTCCTGAATTTCCCACATGTCGGCATAAAACAAGAGTTCATCAATGCTCCTCGTTAACTATGACTGAAATAAGAAAATTCAATGGAAGGTTTTATTGTAAGGCTTCCAAGTACTATCAAGACATGTTTGTACTGAAGCATTGCGTTACCAAAAATCCAAAAAGAGGTGGTACCAAAATTAAAGAAAACGTTATAAATAAACCAAAAACGGTCAGTGTGAAGTACAGTATCGACACCTCAAGAGGAGATATTCCTGTTTGTAAACCGACATTCGTGTCAATACTGGGTATTGGTAAAAATCGTATTGAAAGGATAGTGAAACAGTACCACGCCAGCAGAAAGAAGAGGAGGAGACAGAGTTTCACAAAAATCTATTCATAAAAAACTGGCCATAAGAAATTGTATCGAATCCATAAACTGCTGCGAGACTCATGATGCCAGGAATAAAACAGTTATTAGGCGATACTTACCCTGTGACCTGAACATTGTCAAACTGTGGAAATTATACAACTCTAGAGTGGGCATGCATCTAAAGGTTAAGCAGTGCTTTTTCCGAAATATTTTTAGACGAGAATACAACATTGGCTTTGGATCACCAAAAGTTGATGTATGTTCAACATGTCTACAATTTACAGAAAAAATGAAAAAAATCACCGACCCACAAGAAAGAATTAGGGAAATGATGCACTAGCGTATACATAAGCTCGGTAGTAAGGCGTTTTACGACTTATTGAGAGAAGATAATCCCAAAATTGCCACATTTTCCTTTGACTGCCAAAAGAATCTTCCATTGCCAAAGAGCATTTGCAAAAAAGGGAAGAAAATTACACAAATCCAGTTGCTAACAGTGTGTGTAGGTAGAAGTCTGAAACCAGATAAAATAAAAAGCATATCAGCTCTGCTAGCACAACATTATGGGGTGGATTGGGTAACTGATGGAAGGCTTCATTTCTTCAAAAACGCTTTTGAATTGGAAAATGTTAGTCAGGCGGAAGCTAGAGATCCTGAAGAAGAGATGGTGATTTTATCAGACACTGAAGATACAGACTTGAGAATTTAGTTGTGTTCATTTGCCCATTAAAATCATTTTCTTTGAAGATTTCTTGATTCTATTACCTTCCTTCATTATCATTATCATAGTTACTGCTACTAACTTCATATAGGTATATACACAATCTAGTGTTTGTTAAGATACATAACCAGATATTTGCAAGTCTCAGGTGCAAAACAAGACGTATAATTTTTTAACCAAAATATCTTTTTGTTATTAAGTCAAATATATTTTTATGAAGCAGTACTCATCACTATCAAAATATTGGATATTTTAGTCAAAACATGAACTTGATTGGACTAAACCTAAGATTTTGAGAGGTTATTTGCATTTTACTCAAAACCACTTATACGTCTAATGTCTGGGTTTGCATTTATACGCTTCAAAGGATTCCCATAGTCAAATGAGTAAAACCAGACGCTTAATTGTCGGGAGGAATGATACGGAATCGCTTGGCATGTGGGAAGTGGCAGTGTTGTTCTGTTTAATAAGCGAATGTATGTTCCAAATGTTTGCTCATAGTCTTTAGAGATTTGCTGGTCTCTAGATAACAGTGGATTTACATTCAAACTGATGTTATAGAGATAATTGTCATCATTCAAATTAAGGTTAGACAAGGTAGCGGTATCTCTTGCTTGGATTTCACATAGCCCGACTATTTTATTAACTTATCTGATCCTAGGCTTAGGTGAAAGAACGCTGTGCATATAAGGCAGAGTCGTCAGCTGACTTTGACGTGCATAGGAAAATTGAAGAAGGCTCAAATGCTGGTAGAGGAACTTCGCTAAGCAGAGATATTCACGTTCTGTAACTTGTAAATAAAGGCTATGAGAGATGCCCGAGCCTCTAAATGAGATACAGAAGCAGGTGGGTGTCTTAGATGTGAGATAGCTCGCGATGACGGCTACAAGAGTAGCCTCTGTCAATAAATAACCACCTCCGCCATGTGCAAGCAACAACACTGCGAATTTTTCTCCAGGAACAACAACAATATTAACGCCGAAATTTATAGGGTAATTTAAAACGCTGGCTTGGTTCGCTGCATTTAACAAAACCCATTATGAGTTATGTCCGTGGCAGCGGCCTATAACTTCATAAAGTCATTTATCAGGCATCTCGTCTACAAGAGCTGCGCCGTGTTAGCACAGGTCGAGAACAAATCTATATAGAGCCTCTGCCGAGACAGCGGGGCTGTTTTATGAAAATTATGACACCGGTCGAGTGGTCGACCAGATACAAACACGGACGCAACCTTTTGGTATGCCGGAGGTTCCAGAGGCGAAGCTTTCGTTTCAATCGGATTCCTCTCAAATCCCATTATTTAGTGGTTGATTGCATATAGTATCATATAATAATTAAAGTAGGTACCTTAAGCTTTTACGTTATTTGCCCACTATTTGTACTAGGATCATAAGTAGTATATCGGGCTAAGTAGCCAAAAATAAACCCTAAAATTTTATGGATGGATTTTGCAAGGGTATTAGATTCTTAAGGGTACATGAAAAGGTCCTTCGAGTATAGTAATAAAAAAAATAATGAATTTTCAGAAAATGTTATACATATCTGATGAATTGTTTTCTGGATAGTAATAAGCACGAAGTATTTAAGTTTAATGGCAATTTCTTTGAAATAAAGTATTTACTGCTGCAGCAAGCTAAATACTGTTGGACCAGCGAAAGATTGCAAGCCGAAAGAATGCGGACAAAAAATTGCGAAGTTGTCAGATGTTCTACATAAAATGCGGTCCATACATATTAACATATTTAAGATATAGAATTGTTCCGCTGAATTTGGCAATGTAGCTGGAAAACCCAGGCCGCAGGTAAACATCCGGTCGCTGATTGGTCCAAAACTCTTATCTTATCTGAAACTAGAATAACGTGCCGATGGCACGGTCATTTATAAACCTACTCCCATAGGCGTAGGCAGTTGGCAAATACTTTGAAAATATAATTTACTGTTTAGTGGTGATAATGGAATTCAAGCATGGGAAAGTTATTCACAGCCAGGCAAGGGAAATAATAGCAAACGTGATACGTGCTTGCGATGCAGAAGCGGCTAACA